TCTCTGATTCCCTGCTACTCTCTCTGATTCCCTGCTACTCTCTCTGATTCCCTGCTACTCTCCCTGATTCCCTGCTACTCTCTCTGATTCCCTGCTACTCTCTATTCCCTGTACTCTCTCTGATTCCCTGCTACTCTCTCTGATTCCCTGCTACTCTCCCTGATTCCACTGCTACTCTCCCTGATTCCCTGCTACTCTCTCTGATTCCTGCTATGATTCCTCTCTCTGATTCCCTGCTACTCTCTCCCCTGATTACTGCTACTCTCCTGATTACATGCTACTCTCCCTGATTCCATGCTACTCTCCCTGATTCCCTGCTACTCTCCCTGATTACATGCTACCGTCCCTGATTACATGCTACTCTCCCTGATTCCCTGCTACTCTCCCTGATTCCCTGCTACTCTCCCTGATTACATGCTACTCTCCCTGATTCCCTGCTACTCTCCCTGATTCCCTGCTACTCTCCCTGATTACCCTGCTACTCTCTCCTGATTCCCTGCTACTACTCTCCTGATTCCCTGCTACTCTCCCTGATTCCCTGCTACTCTCCCTGATTCTGCTATCTCCTGATTCCCTGCTACTCTCCCTGATTCCCTGCTACTCTCCCTGATTCCCTGCTCTCTCCCTGATTCCCTGCTACTCTCCTGATTCCCTGCTACTCGATTCCCCTGATTCCCTGCTACTCTCCCTGATTCCCTGCTACTCTCCCTGATTCCCTGCTACTCTCCCTGATTCCCTGCTACTCTCCCTGATTCCCTGCTACTCTCCCTGATTCCTGCTACTCTCTGATTCCCTGCTACTCTCCCTGATTCCGTCTCTATCTCCCTGATTCCCTGCTACTCTCCCTGATTCCTGCTACTCTCCCTGATTCCCTGCTACTCTCCCTGATTCCCTGCTACTCTCCCTGATTCCCTGCTACTCTCCCTGATTCCCTGCTACTCTCCCTGATTCCCTGCTACTCTCCCTGATTCCCTGCATCCTGACCTCTACCTCCGATTTCCTACTACTCTCCCTGATTCCCTGCTACTCTCCCTGATTCCCTGCTACTCCCTGATTCCCTGCTACTCTCCCTGATTCCCTGCTCCTCTCCCTGATTCCCTGCAACTCTCCCTGATTCCCTGCTACTCTCCCTGATTTCTTTTTACTCTCCCAGATTCCCTGTTACTCTCCCTGACTCCCTGCTACTAAATTCTGTGCTACCCTCCCTGATTCCCTGTTACTCTCCCTGATTCCCCGTTACCCTCCATGATTCTCTGCTACCCTCCCTGATTCCTTGTTACTCTCCCTGATTCCCTGCTATTCTCCCTGATCCTGTTATTCTCCCTTATTCTCTGTTACCCTCTCTGATTCTGTTACTCTCCCTGATTCCCTGCTTCTCTCCCTGATTCCCTAAGTTTAGAAGTCGAAGTTTATTTCACAAGTTCATAAGTTTATAATGATAACGAAGTGCTAAACCCAGAAGGGTCATACAATGCTGCCCAAATTCCTGCAAAGGAGGTTCCTTGATGCCAGAGAGGTTCTTGATCTATGGAATTCAAATAGTGGGTTGCAATGCTTGCCATTCCCCCAGATGCTGTAATGCTTGCCATTCCCCCAGATGCTGTGACCCCTACAGGTTTAGCACCCTCTTCCCCATGAATGTAAACTAATAATCATTTCTCCGGTTCAATAATTATTTTTTTTTGTATCTTGAAAAGGCTTCACCAGATCAACTTTGTAAATTTTAATCCTGGTATACTGTAATGTTTGTAGGCCATTATTATTACATTCATGGGGATTATAATGATCAAAATTAAGCATTAAACCCATAAGGGTCATACATTATTATAATCAAAGAGAAACACTAAACCTACAAGGATCGTACAATGCAGCGGGGCAAGGGACAGTGTGGAATAATGAAGTAGCAAGGGTGGAAATAAGGGTCATACAGTGCTGACATTCATGGGGAGTGTTAAACCCATATGGGGCCATAGAGCACCTAGGGGAATGGAAGACGTGAAGAACTGATGGAAACAATTGAAGTACTGGTCCACCGAGATGAAGAGTTCCTCACCAGCATCACGGAACCTCTCTTGAGGGGTACAGTAGGACAACACTCGTACAGCTATTATGTCCCCTATGGTTTTTTATCGTAAAACCCACTCCAAGATTTGGAATGGATCCATTAATTTTCAAAAGTCAAATCTGCTTGACTTCAAACATTAACACGAGGGTATCCAACCAAGATGGAGAGTGTAACTTAAATGTGTAGCTGCACGTACGCCAACTTTGTGTGAAACTGTTCTTACTGTTATATTTACGAGGGGAATAATTATTATTACAATAAAAAATAAGTGCTAAACCCAAAAGGGTCATAACAAGCTGCTCAGGAGGAAGAGGTAAACATACAGCACCAGGGAGAATGAGAGGCACTAAGGTTTGCTTCAAGACAGGAAGCATAGATGCAATCCCTTACCTCAAGAGCCCCTTGAAAGGATTAAGGAACCTCTTGTCAGGAATTTAAATCATTAAATATATTTGAGTGTACCTCTTCTGAATGTTTCAATACTGAATGGTTGATGCGCCATAGGAACAGGATAATACCCGATTAAATTAGTCCGTCAACAAACATTTGTTAATTTTTTTTAATATGCTGGCTGTCTCTCACAAAGGTAGTGTGACCCAAAACAAATGAAACACTTTCATCATCATTCACACTATCACCATCTTGCCAGTAACACGCAGATACAACAGTTCAGATGTCCCTCCAAAACAGCAAATATTGCAAACCCCTCCTTTAGAATGCAGGCACTGTACTTCCCACCACCTCTAGCTAAAGAACACTGCTTCTGTCTGGCTTCAAACCTTCAACACTGATGCACTTGATACAAATGTTACCCTATAAGTTTGGGCTATATAGGTGTAAATTTGGTAATATTAAAATTTTTAAAAGTCTGGACTCCTTGAATTCAGTGATAACTGGAAAATTATTTCTGATCTGCATTTCAACGTGCAACATTAATATGATTACTGGCTGTCAAGCTAAAAAATTCAACACGCCTTTTTTTGTTATTATTACTGCATGCATTGGGCAGAAGGGAAAGGAAGCACTAAACCCATACAGGTCATACAGTACCTGGGAAAAATGGAAAGCATTCAGGTTTAATTCAAGGAACTGGAGAGCATCTGATCAGCATCAAGGAAACTTTTAAATAACAATAATAATACAATCCGAACCAAGAGTTAGACCCACAAGGATCACAAACCGCTTCACAAACCTTGAGAACATTTTACGCTACGTAAATTTTTACACAATTCCATTAAGCCATTAAGGGATTTATGTCTATTGTTGGTCTTTTTTTTAGTAAAGCAACTTACATGTTTGATTAAGATCAGTCTATTAGTTTCCACGACAAATGGGACAAAAAACCCCCTGAAAAACTTTTTAAACAATATTACTACTCAGAATAACAGAATAACTTCAAGAGTGTATCAGTCTGTAGTGGAAGGAAGGCGGGGTAGGGGTCGGCCTAGGAAAGGTTGGAGGGAGGGGGTAAAGGAGGTTTTGTGTGCGAGGGGCTTGGACTTCCAGCAGGCATGCGTGAGCGTGTTTGATAGGAGTGAATGGAGACAAATGGTTTTTAATACTTGACGTGCTGTTGGAGTGTGAGCAAAGTAACATTTATGAAGGGGTTCAGGGAAACCGGCAGGCCGGACTTGAGTCCTGGAGATGGGAAGTACAGTGCCTGCACTCTGAAGGAGGGGTGTTAATGCTGCAGTTTAAAAACTGTAGTGTAAAGCACCCTTCTGGCAAGACAGTGATGGAGTGAATGATGGTGAAAGTTTTTCTTTTTCGGGCCACCCTGCCTTGGTGGGAATCGGCCAGTGTGATAATAAAAATAAAATCAAATTACAGTACTACTCAGCATGTATACTATACAACACTATGGGAAATGCCTGCCATGTATAGCTGAAAAATTCTCATTAAATAATTAATAATAATAATAATATTTAAATTCCAACGAATCTTGATAAAATATGAGTTAATATAAATAATCCTGAATATAAACTAAGTTGTTATATTTGTTGTGAATTAATTCATGTCTGTATAAATAATGCATTAAAACTGTCCCTTGTTTATAATAATAATAATAATAATAATAATAATAATGATAATAATAATAATAATCTAGACAAAGTGCTATACTGTGCCTGTAGATATAAGGCATAATAAGCATGACTTAAAAGTACAGTGGACCCCCGGTTAACGATATTTTTTCACTCCAGAAGTATGTTCAGGTGCCAGTACTGACCGAATTTGTTCCCATAAGAAATATTGTGAAGTAGATTAGTCCATTTCAGACCCCCAAACATACACGTACAAACGCACTTACATAAATACACTTACATAATTGGTCACATTCAGAGGTAATCGTTATGCGGGGGTCCACTGTACTACACTGTACTACACTTGTTCAGAGATCAGATGTGACGACTCTGCATCATTATACCAGTTGGTTAATGAGTGGTGCTCTCTCCGAGACAGAAAGAGAGACAAGCAGAGACACACACAGGCAGACAGAAAGACAGATAAGCAGAGACAGAGCTAGACAGAAAGACAAACAGATACACTGATAGATAGACAGACATGTTTATATGTAAGAGTGAAAACAAGCAAAGCCAAGGCAGTGCACGATCATTAAGTGTCACTCCACTTGTGAGGCCTGGTCTCAGACTGAGCCGCGGGGGCGTTGACCCCCAAAACCCTCTCCAGGTAAACTGCTGCACCGACAGCAGTGGCGTGACATTCGTCTTACACCATGCTTCAAGGAGTTTCATATATACTCCAGCATGTCTAAAACATTTCTGGGACATATAAATACTCTATATATATTTCTAGATAATAATAAATAACCAAAGTAGGTGAGAATGTACACCTGTAGTTGTGTTTGTAACTATCTAAGTGCTATTTCAGTACCTAATATTAGTGTCAGAACAAAGATTGGCTATGAAATCACAAGAACTATTATAAATTGTAATTATCAGACATAAAAATTATATAAATTAATATAAAAACAAGAAAAAAGGTATATTGGCAACACTTCTGCAAGCAGTAGGACTCCATGTTGCCGTCAGGTGAGCATACAGCGCCAACTTCAGTCTTATACCTCAGTAAGTACAGATCCTAAAAAAATTTTTTGGTCTTATTACACACAGAAAATTCTTTCTTCTTTAATTAAAAAAAATCAATATTCGGAGCGCTGGCAATGAAAACGTAAATCAACGTTTGGACAGTTTAAGAGTTAAAGTTGACAATTGTTGCCTGTGTGTCTTATCAGCTACAATAAAACAATACTTGAAATAAGTTACAAGATCTAAAATATATAAATTTCCATCACAGAAGAAACTGGTCAGATTTATGGTGGGATCAAAATTTTCTGATCTCCAACTAATCAACGTCGTTAATTACGACACTAATCAACTGGCTTTGACCTCACTGCTGTTAAATCGAGTATCGTAGATAAGAATATAATAATGTTGGTAGAATTACCGACAATATGTAAAGTAAAAGGACACAAGTGCAACTAATGTGACATTTTATTGTGGCAACGTTTCGCTCTCCAGGAGCTTTATCAAAGCTTGATAAAGCTCCTGGAGAGCGAAACGTTGCCACAATAAATGTCACATTAGTTGCACTTGTGTCCTTTTACTTTACATAGATAAGGATAGTTGTGTTGACAGATATAGTAATATACAGAGCAGTGGTAACACTTGCATTGATACCAATCATTGTGTTGCTGTAAAGTAAGTTATCCTAGCTAATAACTATCATCCACAAATACCAATTATGTTGCTTTAACATACAAGTTATCCTTCCTCAGGTAATACCTATCCTTTTAACAAGTTATCTTAGCTGAAATAATACCTATCCTTTTAACAAGTTATCCTTCCTCAGGTAATACCTATCCTTTTAACAAGTTATCTTAGCTGAAATAATACCTATCCTTTTAACAAGTTATCCTTCCTCAGGTAATACCTATCCTTTTAACAAGTTATCCTTGTGTAGATAATACTTATCCACAAATACCAATCATTATGATACCAATCATAGGTATTATTAGACTTAGGATAACTTACGTCATCCACAAATACCAATCATTATTATATTAAAATTCTTATAAAATTCAGATCTTATTCACTACATTATGAAAGATCAATAATATCTGAAATTAAAACCTAAATGTACAGGAATTTTTAATAAACGTACGCTTAAAAAATAACTAATTTCAATCATACAATTGCAGAAATATTGCCACGGTTGTTCATGGATAATTTGCACCATTCTTCAGATATTGCTGCAAGCCTCATGCACAGATATTGCCACAGTTTCAAGGTAGTCTTAGTTTAAATTTTTTTGGTTTTCAAATGACCATGGTTACAAAATCCAAAATTCATCGATAAAAGTTCAAAGTGTTATATACAGTGGTACCCCGAATTTTGGCCGAAATTCGTTCCAGAAGGCTGTTCGAGTGCCGTTACCTAACGAATTTGTTCCCATATGGAATAATGTAAATTAGATAAGTCCATTTCAGACCCCAAAAAACATATTTACAAAAGCACTTACAAAAATACACTTACATACTTGTTCGAGTTGGGAGCTGTTTGAAATTCGAGGTACCACTGCATTCATGTTCATTACCCTCTAGTAAATTTTTTTTTCGAGATCACATCGCTATCGTGTATCGATACATAATACATTAAATCACTTGTTTCAAAAGATATTACAAAACACTGATTTATATAAGAAATTTGAAATACAAATCAGAAATGCCCACCAAGCCTTTAACAATGTCCATTATTACTATTATTACACTCAAAACTAAGCGCTAAGCCCACAAGGGCCAAACAGCGCTGGAACAGTTTCCATTAAGTTGTTTCAATAAATTAACAAAAGCTACAGTATTGTATATACAATTTAAGTTATTTCTTACATTCTATGAAGACTGTATGGCATATAAAATTTGTGTATACTTAACATTACAAGAATCTCTTGGTATAATTACCTGCTCTGTAATTATGAATTTTTAATTACCTATCTGTAGCTACAGGATTATTAATATACAGTAGGACCCCTCGTATCCACGGGGAATAAGTTCCAAGGACCTGGCGTGGACACCAAGGCCGTGGATAGTAGGAAACTCTACGTATAAGTCCTATACATACTTGTTAAAAAGTTTGATAAATTATGCACAATAAGTAGTGAATTTTCACGTTTTCAGTGATGGGAAGCACTTCACAGCTTCTCTTAGGCTTGGAAGAGCTGCCAACTTCTCTACTTTTGTGCTCTGGGGCCATTATTATGCAAAATTAGTTATTTTTGGGCCAGAGTTAACTGTAGATAACTGAAACTGCGGATACTGAATCAGTGGATACAGGGGTTCTACTATATAACAATTAAGAAAAGTAAAAATTGTAGTGACAGAGATTCCAAGTGAACTGACATCATGATACAAACCATACCCCCGGCCGGGATTGAACCCGCGGTCATAGTCTCAAAACTCCAGCCCAGGGGTATGGTTTGTTTGCAATCGTGTCATTACGATTTCTTGAGTCATCATGATACAAGAATCAGGTTATAGCAAGTTGATAAATAAAGATAAACTATGACAATGTCAAAAATACAAATAAATATAAAGAAAAAATAAACTATGGAAATCTTGCCAAAATATTAATAAAAATATAAATACAAAGCCAGATGATGAGAGGGTTAAGTGTGATGTCCTCGGAGCGATTATTTTACACGTGGAAAATTTGAGAGGTTTGGTCATGGACCAGGTTGTGGGGGGCATTGACCCCCACAACAACCTCCAGGCATATCCTACAATGAGATCTTGAAGTTTCGACAAGATCGACTGGTCAAACTGATGAAGACCTGGGTCATGTGACCACAAGCCACACCAAGTAGCTCACCATATTAGATCCATGCCAGGATTTTTTTATATTTTTGGCAAAAAAAAAAAAAAAAAAAAACTGGTACTTATCAACTATGGTATAGGCGGGGTTAGAAATCATGGCAAGTGAGTTGTAAAACTCTAGGCCAGTGCAATCATGTTATTATGATTTCGTGAGTCGTGACCGACTTACTCTTGCAGTGCTAAAAATTTAAATTTCCCGACACCCCACTCTCATACCAGGTTTCCTAGGTTGTAACATGTTAATAGTTCTGGTAATATTAACTTCCCCAGTGCCCAATCTCAGACTAGAAAAGAAATGTTACAGGATTACAAAATCATGAAATGTTAAAGATTAAGATATTGTGCAACATTTCGGAATGTTTAGTGAGGAAACATTTCACCAGCCAGTCGCTTCTTCAGTCCAATGCAGAGAATAGTGGAAGATGAGGAGGACTTTGAGGTAATCAGTCCTTCAGCTTGTAGTTATGTGCTCAATCCATCGATCTTTTCTGAAGATTGATGGACGGAACACATCAACTCCAGGCTGAGGGACTGATTCCCTCAAAGTCCTTTTTTTCCACCATTCTTTTCTATATTAAACTGAAGAAGTCACTGGCGGACAAAACATTTCCTCAATAAAAACTCGAAAATGCTGCACGAGTGTGTCATTCTTCAACATTAATTTCATTTCTCTAAACATTTTCACATTTTTGACAGACTTTAGCACTGTTAAAAACTATAGATTAACATCTCGCTAACCAACTTACAATAATTGTAACACGGAAGAATTGGAATTATTTAAAAGCTATATGAGACTTTTTTTTTCATTACCCAGTAAATATATGCTCTAAAAACTAAGAAGCTTTCAAGAAAGAAGTTTTGCGGTCAGTAACTAGCCACTGTTAAATTACCTGCTCACAGAACCTGACTCGCAATACAATGACATCGGTAATCTCATCGCTCGCATAATATTAGACACCATAGAACTCAAGTAACCTCATCACTCACACAACACTCAACACTACAGAACCCAACTCATAACACCAACTCCAGTAGCCTCATCACTCACGCAACACTACAGAACCCAACTCATAACACCAACTCCAGTAACCTCATCACTCACACAACACTCAACACTACAGAACCCAACTCATAACACCAACTCCAGTAGCCTCATCACTCACGCAACACTGCAGAATTCAACTCATAATACCAACCCCAGTAGCCTCATCTCTCTCATAACACTAAACCAGTTAGCAAAATTCTTTGGTATACAATATATCAATACAAAAAGTCATTTTTTTACCAGGTTCACTAACACTGCATAACATACTAAGTATATCTCACTAGAAGTGTATGCACCTAGAGCAGCAATACACATGGTGGACGTATATCTCTCAGTGTGTATATGTTGTGTTTGCTGTAATCTCTATTTTGACGAATCAAGACAAAAAGATGACCCAGGATTTTTTTTTTCGAGTTAGGAGACTCCACACACCACCCTGTTGCAGAATGTGGATAATGGTACACAATACTCTAATAAAGCTCCTTTATATACAGTCAGTTCTTTTATAAAGTTCCTCTATAAATAGACCCCTGGTTGCCTTCAAGAGGGAGCTGGACAGATGCAAAATCAGTACCTGATCAGCCGGGCTGTGGTTCCTATGTCGGTTTACGTGCAGCCAGTAGTGACAACCTGATTGATCAGGGCTTGATCCACCACGAGGCCTGGTCATTAACTGGGCCACGGGGGCGTTGATCCCCAAAACACCCTCCAAGTATACTCCAAATCTAAGTAATGACCGGATAGGCCTACACATCACGTGATATTCAATTATGAATTAACCCTTGCAATCCCGTTTGTGCTACATAGTGGAGCTTCATAACAGAATTGACCCTATGCATAGATAGATATATTAATAACTTATTTAAATCACAATGAACACCTAAAAAATTCATTATAAAATGTGAACATCAATATATCTACAGTACAGGAAGCTGAAACAGTGAAAATATTAAATGACGTAGTTTGGAATAGTATTCAGAGGTGACTATCAGGTGTTTGCAGGATAATTTTGAACAGTATTCAGAGGAGACTATCAACTGTTTGCACCATAGTTTGGAATAGTATTCAGACACTATCAAATATCTGAAGGATACTTTTGGATAGTATTCAGAGGACACTATCAAATATTTACAGGATAGTTGTGAATAGTATTCAGAGTAGACTATCAAATGTCTGCACAATATCCCCTAAAACATTATATACCTTGTCAATGGTGTCTTCCCTCTTTAGTGGCTTCTCTGACGGTCTTGGCGTACTGTCTCCAGAAGATGTGCAGCTCCTGTTGTCCGTCCTGGAGGTTGTGGGGAGGAGAGGTGGCGGAAGGGGGAGCTGGGGGCCTTCCAGCGGAGGCGAGAGTGGATCAGGTGGAGTGGAGAACAGGTGCATGTTGCCAGTGTCGCACGGAATGCTGGGGATTCGACCGCCCTGGATGGTGAACCCAGAGTATGATTGAGGGCAGGGACGGGGAGGTGGTCGAGACGTGTGGGCTGTATCACGGGTCGATGCAGCGCCACTAGCCCGAGTGACGATGGGTGGTTGGCCGACGTGATGTCTGGGGGGTAATGGAGGTGGCGCTGTCGAACTGCTAGGCTGGATGAAGGGATTTGTGAGTGACACTGTCGAGTCGAGGGCCGGCGGAACGTGCACAGGGCTCCTCTTTGATCCATCACCTTCCAGCGGACTGAATGAATCTAACAGATCAGGCAGAGATGACAAGTTGAAGGGTGGGGAATCATCCAGGAGGGTCTTATTTTCTTCGGGTTTTGGCGCTTCTATGCTGGCAGTGCCTTGCTCGCTGCCTTTATCATTACTGTCTAAAGATGACAGCAGCCCAGAGTCCAGTGCTGACAGTCCCTGCAGGAATGACAGACTCTGCTGGGCAGCCAATATGTCTGGGCTGAGAGGGACTTCCAAGGTTGGAGGAGCACTCAGGCTGGCATCTTCTACCTGATTGTTTCCATCAGCAACTTGCGGCTTTCCACTTTCCATCGTCTGTGTAAAGTAAACAAATATGAAATCTATCCCGAATTTAATTGATCAAATTATAATTTTTTTAACACATCGACTATCTCCCACCAAGACAGGGTGACCCAAAAAAGAAGAAATGCTTTCATCTCTCACTTCATCACTGTCTTGCCAGAGAAGTGCCAACATTACAATTCAAAATTGCAACATACAGTGGTACCCCGAGTTTTGAACCCCTCCAACTCGAACAATTATGTAAGTTTATTAATGTAAGTGCCTTTGTAAGTGTATTTTTGGGGGTCTGAAATGGACTAACCTAATTTACATTATTTCTCATGGGAACAAATTCGTCCAGTAACGCCACTTGAACAGTCTTCTGGAACAAATAAAGTTCGAAACTCGGGGTACCACTGTATTTCCACTCCTTCAGAGTGCAAGCACTGTACTTCTCACCTCCAGGACTTAAGTCTGGCTAACTGGACTTGAGTCTAGTTAGTCGGACTGGTGGTGATGGTGATGATGATATGAAAATGAGTAAAAATGACTAGGAAAACATCAAACTACCAGTGATAATGACTAATAATGATTGATGGTGACAATAATGAGGAAGACATCAAACTACCAGTAATAATGACTGATAATGATTGATGGTGACAATAACCAGGAAAATATCAGACTAACAGTGATGACAGAGGAGACGACACCCTACGCCAGGTCACACACCTGCGGCGTCAGGGGCGGCGGCAACAGCTCCGACGCCGGAACTTCCTCGTCGATATCCGCTTTCCGTGGGCGGATGGTCAGAGGTGTCCGCTCAATAACGCCAGCTACCTCTTTACTCACATTCTCCTGCCGTAAATTATTATTATTATTTTTTTAACACGCTGGCCATTCCCCATAGAGGCAGAGTGACCCAAAAAAGAAAAAACACTTTCATCATCACTCACTCCATCACTGTCACTACAGTTCAAAACTGCAACGTATCTCCACTGCACCTCCCACCTCCAGGACGGAACCCCTTCATAAATGTCACCTTGTTCACACTCCAACAGCACATCAAGTCATTCAAACCACTTGCCTCCATTCACTCCTAACACTCAAGCATGCTTGCTAGATGTACAATATACTGTATAATACTTAGACTCTTGGAAGCAAGGGGCTGGCTAGTAACCCCTTCTAATATATATACAGTGGACCCCGCTTAACGATCACCTCCAAATGCGACCAATTATGTAAGTGTATTTATGTAAGTGCGTTTGTACGTGTATGTTTGGGGGTCTGAAATGGACTAATCTACTTCACAATATTCCTTATGGGAAAAAATTCGGTCAGTACTGGCACCTGAACATACTACTGGAATGAAAAAAGTTCGTTAACCGGGGGTCCACTGTATTACTAAAGTCTTCAAAACATTTTGACAAGCTTTTATATCATTATAGATTATTATACACAATTCTGGAGGTCCCCAAGTGTTTGTTAATTGAAGAATTCCTGTATTATGAATATTATATACAATTCCAGAGGTTCCCAATGTGCAAATTGAGGACTTGGGAATAAATGATATAAAATACCGACACAAAGGAAATAAAACACATAAGCAGTATAATGTGATCCTTTATTGACAATGTTTTGCCCACACAGTGGGCTTTTTCAAGTCACAAACAGATCTGTTTGTGACTTGAAAAAGCCCACTGTGTGGGCAAAACATTGTCAATAAAGGATCACATTATACTGCATATGTGTTTATATTTCCAAATTGAGGACTTACTGTAAATGTGAAAAGAAAAGTTTTATAAGGTTTTCTTATTTTTTGAGTCATTCAGCCTCAGTGGGTATTACCCCACAACAAAATTATGTACAGCAAAAATCCCCACTAGATTTGAAAGTCCACAGGATCAGGGAAAGACAGTGAGCATTCAAATTTAAAATAGTTTATTGAATCCATTTCTATGGAGAATACAGTCAAACAAGCTGGAAAGTATGTATTATGTGTGTTAAAGCAACTTTAAAAAATAAAACACAAAATTAACAAATAAAATGAAAAATAAAGCATGAAATAAAAAAAATAGAGAAATTTAATAAACATCTTATTAGGGAATTAAATAATGTCAGTGAAAAATTTTTCACTTCAAGTTTTTGAGATATGATTTTTGATACATCACAATTATGGTTTTTTGACGATTATTTTTGCCTCGCTTAATAAATAATAAATTTTGTGCAATTTTATTTATGTTTTCTGAGCATTTATTACCCCTGAGATTCTCGTTGTTACCCCATTTTGGGTAATTTACCGTGATTCCCTGACCTCTGCTTTAGGAGTGAGGCTGCAGGATAAGACTCACCTGGACATCATCCATCTCCTTCATAAGAGCATCCGACTCAGTCAGAAGGCGATCCATGCGTGACTGGAGGTCATCCAGAGTCTTCAGGTTCTGTTGCATTATCCGCATCCCCTGCGGAGAGGAAAATACACTGATACGATATTGAACCTGGAGTGTGGTTTGCTTGCAGGTTCGAATCCTGCTGTGGAATGACAGATAATGTTTATAAATAATTCCGTCTGTGCATTTCTAAGTACATATACAGTAGTCCCCATGAATCCATGGGGATACGTTCCAAGACCTGCTGTGGAAACCCAAAACCACAGCCCAGCTGGTCAGTACCTGACCAGCTGGGATGTGGTTTGTACATCAGTTTGCGTGCAACCAGCAGTAACTGCCTGGTTGATCAGACCCTGATCCAGCATGAGGCCTGGTCTCAGACCGTGCCGCAGGGACACTGACCCTCAAAACCCTCTCCAGGTATACTCCAGGCATACTTGAAACCGTGGATAGCAGCTACCTCTATTTGTAAGTCATTTTTCATTTACATACAAACCTACGATAAAGCTTAATTGATAAATTAAACAAAATAAGTCTAGAATTAGCACTTTTTCACTGATAAGAAGCACTTCACACTTTGTCATCACTACTTTTGCACTTTGGGTCATTATCAAGCAAAATTAAGGGTTATTTTCAGGCCACAGTAAATCGTGGATACCAAATCCGTATCCACATGGGATGGACATCCTCAGTTCATCCTGCTTTAAGATCGTTGCTCCGATGAACCCATCTTGTGTAGAAAATATCATAAGCTGAATATTAAAGTGATCTTTCTTTTTTTCAACAAACCGGCTGTATCCCACCGAGGCGGCGCGGCCCAAAAAGAAAAACAAAAGTTTCTCTTTTCAAATTTAGTAATTTATACAGGAGAAGGGGTTAATAGCACCTTGCTCCCGGCATTTTAGTCAGCTCTTACAACACGCATGGCTTACGGAGGAAGAATTCTGTTCCACTTCCCCATGGAGATAAGAGGAAATAAACAAGAACAAGAACTAGAAAGAAAATAGTAGAAAACCCAGAGGGGTGTGTATATATATGCTTGTACATGTATACATGTATGTGTAGTGTGACCTAAGTGTAAGTAGAAGTAGCAAGACGTACCTGAAATCTTGCATGTTTATGAGTCAGAAAAAAAAGACAGCAATCCTCCCATCATGTAAAACAATTACAGGTTTTCGTTTCACACTCACTTGGCAGGACGGTAGTACCTCCCTGGGCGGCTGCTGTCTACCAACCTACTACCTAGAAAGTGATATGATAAATAAATAACTACTGTCAATGAATAAATAAATAAACAAATAATTACTTTAACTAAATACCAGTATTGAAAAGTAAACAAATGAATATACAAGTTATGGACTTGTTACCTTCATGCTGGGTAATTATCTTAAGTTTCATCTCCAAAGTAATTGATGCCACACCATCGTAAAGTCAAACTATTGTAAGTCGAACCATCACAAAGTCAAAATATTGTAAGTCATAATACTGTACGTCAAAATATCATGAGTCAAAATAACGTAAGTTAAGGAGCACTGGTATAATAGTTTGAAAGGAGGATAGATTATTTCAAGTTGTAATAATGACTAGAAATGAATCTGCTCACCTCACACAACCAGACACCGCCGTCCAGGGCGTTGGGCGGCAGTGCCACGCCCGACATGTAGCGCTCGAATTCGTCTGCCGTCAATCCCAGACTCTCTGCTGTCATCTTCTCAATGAAGGCGACCGCACAGCACTGCAAGAAAAATAATGATTGTAAACTGCCCAGTACCACTGAGGTGACACCTCACTCAGAAAAGGTGGGGTTTGAGAAAGACCTGCCTAGTATGGGCCAATAAAAAGCACAAATTTAACATGATATCAGACAAACGTGTGTGTGAGTTAGCTTTGTGTGGGGTGAAGATATGTTGCAGTTTTTTAACTGTAGTATAGTTGCGCTTCTGGCAAGACAGTGATGGAGTGAATGATGATGAAAGTGTTTCTTCAGTTATGGGTCACCTTGCCTCGGTAGGAAATGGTTGATGTGTTAATGATAAAAAAGAAATATTTGAATAAGCAAAGATCTTTTTTCTTCATGCTTAAAACTTACCAGGTTGGTGAAGAAATAGCCGGCCTCTCCACTCTGGAGACTGCTTTGCTGCGCAAAGTTTGTGATGTAAGCAATGTTACTGTGGAGGAGCGGTGGACTGGCCTGCAGCACGCAGTAGATGAGTGCTGGCAGGAAGTCGTCCGCCGAGGCTGGGGAGCCACCCCTCGACTGCTTCAGCAGATTGAGCACGTGGTGGCTGGAAGACACCAGGCACTTCAATTTGTCGGACGGAACGCGCCTGCTGTTCATTTCTATCAACTCTGTGAGGAGGGCAATGTTTAGACATCTTACTAACTCTGTGTGGAGGGGCAATGTTCAGACATATTCAGACATCTTAATAATACATGTACAACACCAGCCAGTGACTATATTAGTTCAATACAGAAAACACATTCAACGAGAGTAGAAGATAATGTTATGTAGAAGATAATGAAGACAAAAATACAGTGGACCCCCGCATAACGATTACCTCCGAATGTGACCAATTATGTAAGTGTATTTATGTAAGTGCGTTTGTACGTGTATGTTTGGGGGTCTGAAATGGACTAATCTACTTCACAATATTCCTTATGGGAACAAATTCGGTCAGTACTGGCACCTGAACATACTTCTGGAGTGAAAAAATATCGTTAACCGGGGGTCCACTGTAATCTTACTTTCTACTCTCATTGTATATTATCTCTCTAGTGAACTAATACTGCCACAGGTTGGCAAAACACCTTCAAAACATGACACCCAGGTGTTGCACACATGTCTAATTCCTCATTCTATCAGTATTTTGCACCATAACTGTCACGAACCCTATTACTGCTCTCTAAGATCCGTACCAATGAGAATTTATACAATTTTCCTGCCACACATTGCTACGATGTCCACTTCAACTTGCATAATTGTAAACCGTACTAAATTTGATATTTCCTAAATCTCTTTATAATAATAATAATAATAATAATAATAATAGTGATAATAATAATAATAGTAATAATAATAGTAATAATAATAATAATAATAATAATAATAATAATAATAATAATAATGATATCTATTTCTATAAGTACATGTACAAGGTATAGACCATAGTTGACATCAATGACATACTACTATACAGAAAGTCCCTTGTTATGCTGAGCATTTCCTGCAAATTATGTCAGTTTTGTCCCCAAGATGCCACCCACACCAGTCCACTAACACCTGGGTTCAACCTCCAGTATGGCTGGAAACACTAGGATGTTTCCTTAAGACACCTGCTGTCCATGTTCACCTAGCAGTAAAATAGGTACCTGGGTGTTAGTGGACTGGTGTGGGTCACATCCTGGGGACAAAAACAAGAACTAGTAAGAAAATAGAAGAAAACCCAGAGGGGTGTGTGTATATATGCTTGTACATGCATGTGTAGTGTGACCTAAGTGTAAGTAGAAGTAGCAAGACGTACCTGAAATCTTGCATGTTTATGAGACAGAAAAAAAAGACACCAGGAATCCTACCATCATGTAAAACAATTACAGGCTTCCATTTTACACTCACTGGCAGGACAGTAGTACCTCCCTGGGCGGCTGCTGTCTACCAACCTACTACCACAGGATGGTAGTACCTCCCTGGGCATTTGTTGTCTACCAACCTACTACCACAGGATGGTAGTACCTCCTTGGGTGGTTGCTGTTTACAAGCCTACTACCTAGGAAAAATAAAAAAATTTTGATTACAGTGGACCCCCGCATAGCGACCTTAATCCATGCAAGAGGGCTGGCTGTTATGCGAAATGTTCGCTATGCGAATGAATTTTCCCCATAAGAAATAATGGAAATCAAATTAATCCGTGCAAGACACCCAAAAGTATGAAAAAAAAATTTTTACCACATGAAATATACATTTTCCTACACACAAAGAGAAGGATACATGCACAATAATAGAGTAGTACATGCTCAATATATATTGTGCATGTACTACTCTACTAAATGAAGAATAAATGACACTTACCTTTATTGAAGATGCAGCAATGACTGATGAGAGACTGTGTCCTGGGAGTGCCTTTTCCTCCTGAGTACTGTAGGTCCTGTTTGGCATTTTCTTCCAGAACAGGCCTTATCACACTGTGTATGCCACTACGATTCTTAAATCTCTCAAACCAACCTTTGCTGGCTCTAAATTCACCAATATGAGCACTAGTTCCAGGCATTTTCCCTGTTCACCTGGGTGTTAGTCAACTGGTGTGGGTTGCATCCTGGGAGACAAGATTAAGGACTCCAATGGAAATAAGTTAGACAGTCTTCGATGACACTGACTTTCTTGGGTTATCCTGGGTAGCTAATCCTCTGGGGTTAATTGTTTCTTGGTATTCTCAATAAGCCACACCAACAACGGTGGTACAGCAGCAGCAGCAGCTGACGGTGGTACAGCAGCAACAGACGATGCTACAGCAGCAACAGACGATGCTACAGCAGCAGCAGACGATGCTACAGCAGCAACTGACGATGTTACAGCAGCAGCAGACGATGCTACAGCAGCAGCAGCAGCAGACGATGCTACAGCAGCAGCAGCAGCAGACGATGCTACAGCAGCAGCAGACGATGCTACAGCAGCAGCAGACGATGCTACAGCAGCAGCAGACGGTACTACAGCAGCAGCAGCAGCTGACGGTGGTACAGCAGCAGCAGCTGACAGTGCAGCAGCAGCTGACGGTGGTACAGCAGCAGCAGCAGCTGTACCACCAATAGTAGCAATGGTTGATTGGGGTTTATTATACAACCTGGCCAGCTCGGAGACACGCACTCCACTTTCATACTTATCAATGATCTTTTTCTTCATCTCCATAGTAATTCTCACCCTTATTGCTGTAGGGTTGGCACTAGAAGCTTTCTTGGGGCCCATGGTCACTTATTTTCCAGAAAAAAATCACCAAAAACACTGTAATAATACAAAATGTTCCGATTGTATGCTTGGATGTTACCGCGGAGGCTGGCTGGTAAACAATGCCACCCGCGGAACATGTGAGCGTGGCTCAGGCCGCACATTGGACGCGTCTTGGACGAAGGCCGCTGAGCGGGTTTTTGTCCACTATGCGGGGCAAAATTTTAGCGAACAAAGCGTCCGCTATGCGGATTGTCCGCTATGCAAGGCGTCCGTTATGCGGGGGTCCACTGTATTATTGTTACATGTATACCTGGAGTATACCCAGAGGGGGTTTCAGGTGTCAACTACACTTTGCATACCACACAAATAAATATTGTTTGTTTGTAAAATGTGTTTCAAAAGTTCAACGCCAGTAGAAGACTCACGGAATCATAATGTCGTGATTGCGAACAACTCATGGAATGGATGGGATCTGAACCTATAGTGAGTGAGTGGTAAAACTCACAGGAGAATATGCAGACAAAAGATAATGGAGAACATAAGAAAGGAGGAACAGGAGGCCTACTGGCCCATACTAGGAAGGTCCTTCTCAAACCCAAACCCACTAAAAAACATTGGCCCAACCCATTATCAGTGTTACCCAAGGAATAAGCTTTGATAACATTACTTACTCATGTGCAAGTCCCACTCTAATCCAACCCTTCTCACTCATGTGCAAATCCTACTCCACTCCAACCCTTCTCACTCATGTACAAATCCCACTCTAATCCAACCCCTCTCATGTATTTATCTAACCTATATTTGAAGCTAGCCAAGGTTTTAGCTTCTCTGACCCCACTCCCTATACTAGTAAGTAATAGAAGTGCATACTAGCACCAAGCATAGGATCGACTAGCATGATACACTAAGTCCTCAACTGACAAACACGTTGGTGAGCTTCTAAATTGTGCATAATAATATATAGCAATATTAACTATTTTTCATCCACAAAGTGGGTTTTATTAAGTCACAAACAGGTCTTATGATGTTTTGGTCTGACTTTGACCATTGGCCAGTTGCAGAGGTCCAAGTTGAGCCGAAATTCATCACACATTTCTCTCTCCTATTGTGGGCTATTTGTGTACTGTTCCAGTCATGGTATTATTTTTGTTCTTTATATACTGTTAAAATGGTGAAATATAGCCTAGCCTGGTCAACTACGGTGAAGCACAGCCTAGCCTGGTCAACTATGGTGAAGCACAGCCTAGCCTGGTCAACTATGGTGAAGCACAGCCTAGCCTGGTCAACTATGGTGAAGCACAGCCTAGCCTGGTCAACTATGGTGAAGCACAGCCTAGCCTGGTCAACTATGGTGAAGCACAGCCTAGCCTGGTCAACTACGGTGAAGCACAGCCTAGCCTGGTCAACTATGGTGAAGCACAGCCTAGCCTGGTCAACTATGGTGAAGCACAGCCTAGCCTGGTCAACTATGGTGAAGCACAGCCTAGCCTGGTCAACTATGGTGAAGCACAGCCTAGCCTGGTCAACTATGGTGAAGCACGCCTAGCCTGGTCAACTACGGTGAAGCACAGCCTAGCCTGGTCAACTATGGTGAAGCACAGCCTAGCCTGGTCAACTATGGTGAAGCACAGCCTAGCCTGGTCAACTATGGTGAAGCACAGCCTAGCCTGGTCAACTATGGTGAAGCACAGCCTAGCCTGGTCAACTATGGTGAAGCACAGCCTAGCCTGGTCAACTAGGGTGAACATCCATGACACTCACCAGTTATAACCAGGTCCAATGTTTCTCTTACTTCTTCACAGGAGTCCTTAACTCCGCACTCCAGGTGCTGACTGCTCACCCATGCCAAACTCCGGATTCTGAAAGAGAAAAATGGAGTATTTGTGAAGCGATTCAGGGAAACTGGATGGCTGGACTTGAGTCCTGGAGGAGGGAAGTACAGTGCTTGTGCCCTGAAGGTTGGGTGGGACTGTTACAGTTCTGGAGGTGGGAAGTACAGTGCCTGCACTCTGAAGAGTGAGTGAGGATGTTACACACCAACATAATCACTATACACACCAACATAATCACTATACATACCAACATAATCACTATACACACCAACATAATCACTATACACACAACATAATCACTATACATACCAACATAATCACCAAACACATCAGCCTTGAATCAGGAATAACAAGAGGCCACAGTTGGAAATTCAGAAAAACAAAAATGAAGCCAACGGATAACCAAAATTTATATTCCACGGGACAGTTGACCAATGGAACAATTGAAAAGTTGTAGTAGTATTAACTACTACAACTACTGGGAATGTTAAAAACTACACAGAAAACAAATTACTGAAGATGGGATAACAAAAGCCTAGAAATTGGTATTTTTTTACAAAAAGGTATTTACAAAAAGATATTTAAAGATAAGTTACTACAAATCAGTTACCCCAAGCAATGTAACTGAGATCCAGGAGTACCTAATATTCTCCAGTTTTGACTGGTGTTACCTGTTTTGACTGTAGTGTTACCAGTTTTGACTGTAGTGTTACCAGTTTTGACTGTAGTGTTACCAGTTTTGACTGTAGTGTTACCAGTTTTGACTGTAGTGTTACCAGTTTTGACTGTAGTGTTACCAGTTTTGACTGTAGTGTTACCAGTTTTGACTGTAGTGTTACCAGTTTTGACTGTAGTGTTACCTGTTTTGACTGTAGTGTTACCAGTTTTGACTGTAGTGTTACCAGTTTTGACTGTAGTGTTACCAGTTTTGACTGTAGTGTTACCGTTTTGACTGTAGTGTTACCAGTTTTGACTGTAGTGTTACCAGTTTTGACTGTAGTGTTACCAGTTTTGACTGTAGTGTTACCAGTTTTGACTGTAGTGTTACCAGTTTTGACTGAAGTGTTACCTGTTTTGAATGGCCAGATCCTTCTCCTCGTTGACGGCATTTACGGCGCTGATAAGCGCTTTGTAGAGTCGTGTCGTCACATAGCGCTCGGTCAGCTCATTGATCTTGTCCACTTGTTCTTGAGTTAAGTCTGGGCAAAGTCAGCATAAAATACAAGTATATTAAACAATATATACTACAGCCTCTCCTCACTTAACGAGTTCCGTTCCTAAGTCTACATCGGTAAACGAATCTGTCGCTAAGTGAACATAAGAACATAAGAATGTAGGAACACTGCAGAAGGCCTACTGGCCCATGCGAGGCAGGTCCTTATCAAAACGACCTCTACCTAAAGCTATCCAAGAAATAACTCCCGTACACCAATGGCATCATTCTCCTCCTGCTCTTCAAGTCTCTCCCCTTCATGGACCGATGAAGCCACTGTGTGGCGAATCATTTCCTCAGTGGTTCTCTGAACCATTCATCTACAATACTACAATGTTAGTGGGTTTGTGTCATCTTTGATGGTGTTTTAATGTCACCTCTGCACCATTTATAACCTTTCTGGTATATTTTTAAATGTTTATACAGCAGTGTACTGTATATTGCAATAAAAAAAATAGAGGAAATCAGCTCTAATATACATTATTTAGGTATGTATACTGGTCAGAGAGCCCGTCGTAAGCCCGAGTTGTCGGTAAATGAGTACGTTGCTAAGAGAGGCTGTACAGTGGACCCCCGGTTAACGATATTTTTTCACTCCAGAAGTACATTCAGGTGCCAGTACTGACAGAATTTGTTCCCATAAGAAATATTGTGAAGTAGATTAGTCCATTTCAGACCCCCAAACATACACGTACAAACGCACTTACATAAATACACTTACATAATTGGTCGCATTCGGAGGTAATCGTTATGCGGGGGTCCACTGTATAAGGAAACACACCCAATGTTTCCACCCGTGCCAAAGATCAAACCACGAACACTCGGTGTGTGAAGCAAGAGCATCAGGAACCTAAGAACCACACAAACGGGGCTCTTCTGTATTATTAATAATAACACCAAGGCTGCGTGACCCAAAGAAGAAAGCATTCGCTCTACGATTATTATAATTCTTGTGATTATTATTATTATTATCATTATTATGATATAGGATAGACAAGTTGTAAATAGTGAAATATATAGCACAAATACAGTATTAAGATAATGTTTAGTTGATAGCATTTTACTGAGATGTTGCTTAATGTAATGCCATAGAGCACATAGTAACACTACCAAGCAACCCATGTGTACAAGACACATGTGTACATGTGTACAAGACACACATGTACATGTGTACAAGACACACGTGTACATGTGTACAAGACACATGTGTACATGTGTACAAGATACACGTGTACATGTGTACAAGACACGTGTAGAAGACACACGTGTACATGTGTACAAGACACACGTGTACATGTGTACAAGACACGTGGGTAGCTTGTTAAGGAATGGGTTGATTAGGAGTTATGGTGGAGGGAAGTATAGGGAGAATGAGTGGGAGGGTAAGACAGGGAGAATGAGTGGGAGGGTAAGACAGAGAGAATGAGTGGGAGGGTAAGACAGGGAGAATGAGTGGAAGGGTAAGACAGGGAGAATGAGTGGAAGGGTAAGACAGGGAGAATGAGTGGGAGGGTAAGACAGGGAGAATGAGTGGGAGGGTAAGAACAGGGAGAATGAGTGGGAGGGTAAGACAGGGAGAATGAGTGGGAGGGTAAGACAGGGAGAATGAGTGGGAGGGTAAGACAGGGAGAATGAGTGGGAGGGTAAGACAGGGAGAATGAGTGGGAGGGTAAGACAGGGAGAATGATGGTGGGAGGGTAAGACAGGGAGAATGAGTGGGAGGGTAAGACAGGGAGAATGAGTGGGAGGGTAAGACAGGGAGAATGAGTGGGAGGGTAAGACAGGGAGAATGAGTGGGAGGGTGAGACAGGGAGAATGAGTGGGAGGGTAAGACAGGGAGAATGAGTGGGAGGGTAAGACAGGGAGAATGAGTGGGAGGGTAAGACAGGGAGAATGAGTGGGAGGGTAAGACGGAGAATGAGTGGGAGGGTAAGACAGGGAGAATGAGTGGGAGGGTAAGACAGGGAGAATGAGTGGGAGGGTAAGACAGGGAGAATGAGTGGGAGGGTTATATAGACGGAGAATGAGTGGGAGGGTAAGACAGGGAGAATGAGTGGAAGGGTAAGACAGGGAGAATGAGTGGGAGGGTAAGACAAGGAGAATGAGTGGGAGGGTAAGACAGGGAGAATGAGTGGGAGGGTAAGACAGGGAGAATGAGTGGGAGGGAGGCAGAGATGAAGTAGGGAAGAAGGAAAGGGGAGAGAGATAGAGTAAGGAAAGAAAGGAAGGAGGCAGGAAGAGTATAAAGGATGTATAAGCAGAACAATACAACAACACTTGCAAGAGTCAATGGTTCAAGATTTCATTTGGTGGACTAATAAGAGGTAATTTGGTGGACTAATAAGAGGTAATTTGGTGGACTAATAAGAGGTAATTTGGTGGACTAATAAGAGGTAATTTGGTGGACTAATAAGAGGTAATTTGGTGGACTAATAAGAGGTAATTTGGTGGACTAATAAGAGGTAATTTGGTGGACTAATAAGAAGGTAATTTGGTGGACTAATAAGAGGTAATTTGGTGGACTAATAAGAGGTAAATTTGGTGGACTAATAAGAGGTAATTTGGTGGACTAATAAGAGGTAATTTGGTGGACTAATAAGAGGTAATTTGGTGGACTATAAGAGGTAATTTGGTGGACTAATAAGAGGTAATTTGGTGGACTAATAAGAGGTAATTTGGTGGACTAATAAGAGGTAATTTGGTGGACTAATAAGAGGTAATTTGGTGGACTAATAAGAGGTAATTTGGTGGACTAATAAGAGGTAATTTGGTGGACTAATAAGAGACAATGGACTGCAGGTAATAGTGACTGTGGAAGACAGAAATAAGATTTCCATGACTGTAACAATAGAGGACAATTCTATAACCAATGGACTTGTCTGCTGTTTCCAAATCAACCAAGTGGACTTTATCCTGTGTTTCCATGGGGATTCAAGGTAGCCAGTCAGTGGGACTTGAGTCCTGGAGGTGTATATTAGTGCCTGTACTCTGAAGGTGGTGTGGGGGAGGCTGCAATTATAGGGTCATCTCAACTGTGATATCAGTGCCCTTCTGGCAAGATAGTGATCATGTGACAGTGAAGGTGTTTCCTCTTTTCTGGGTCACCAATGTTGGTGGGAGATGTCCAATGAGGTCAAAATAAAATTACAAAGTCCGTCAAATCGAGATTTTACTCCTGCAAGGCTACTCTGGTCTCTTACATCAGCAGGTAAAACAAATGCCAAAGAATTTACCATGATAGGCGCTCTGCATTGAGACCATTTCGTTCATGGTGTTGTAGAAGTCGTGGACCTGCTCGCCGGACTCGTCCACAGACTGGAACTCCACGCACCGCAGCATCTTGTCCACGAACATGTTGATCTGCTTGCTCACACGCACTTGCACGTCCTTGCTCAGAGTCTGCAAGTACCACAATTCTGATTTGTGTCAATGTGGGAGAGAAGCGCCAAACTTGTCTGTTGTCCGGTGCGAAGAGTGGTAGATACACTGTACAGCCTGGACAATGGTTCAACCTAGACAATGGTCCAGCCGAGAGAATGGACCAGCTTTAACAATGGACTAGCCTGAACAATGGGCCAGCCTGAACAATGGGCCAGCCTGGACAATGGGCCAGCCTGGACAATGGCCCAACCTGAACAATGGTCCACCCTGAACAATGGTCCAACCTGGACACAGGGCCAGCTTAAGCTTAACTTCAGACCAGTTCTTAAGCAGTATGTAAGCCCTGAATGCACTGCCTGTTAATGGCTTTCTTTATGCCTATCAATATTTTAATACACGCAAACTACATTACCTCTATGCTGCAGAAAAGAAAGAAATGATCTGTAATCGTACGGAAAAAATCACAATAAAACACCAGAGTGCAAATATAAAGAAATCAGGCTGGGCCTTTTATGTCCAAGGTCAAGGGTTGGTTTTGTCCTACACTTTAGCAGTTTACTACTGTTACATTACAACTGCTTGGAAACATTGTCTTATGTGCCACAAAATACGGTAATTCACAATTTTGTAAATTTGCACACACACACAAGATTAATCCCAGAGTTAAGGGCTATGCCCTATGAGAAGTTAAGGGAACTCAACCTGACAACAATGGAGGACAGGAGAAATAGGAAAACATGGCAATGACACACAAAATCCCGAGAGGAATTAACAAGATGGATATGGACAGGATGTTTCAGAGATGGGACACAACATTGGGACACAGCAACGAGGGGTCACAGCAACAAGGGGACAGAGCAACAAGGGGACAGAGCAACAAGGGGACAGAGCAACAAGGGGACAGAGCAACAAGAGGACAGAGCAACAAGGGGACAGAGCAACAAGGAGACAGAGCAACACGGGGATAGAGCAACAAGGGGACAGAGCAACAAGGGGACAGAGCAACATGGGGACACAGCAACAAGGGGACAGAGCAACATGGAGACACAGTAACAAGGGGACACAGCAACAAAGGAACACAGCAACAAGGGGACACAGCAACAAGGGGACACAGCAACAAGGGGACAGCAACAAGGGGACACAACTGGAAGTTGAAAACTTATATGAGTTACAGGGATGTTAAGAAGTATTTCTTCAGTCACAGAGTTGTCTGGAAGTGGAACAATCTGGAGAGTGAAGTAATGGAGGCAGGATCCATACATAGCTTTTAAAAATGTATGATAAATCTCATGGAGCAGGGAGAGAGACTGGACCTAGTAGCAACCAGCGAAGAGGCAGGGCCAGGAGAAGTGACTTGATCCCTACAATCACAAGTATGTGAGTACAAAAAGGTGAGTATATATATACACACAAAAAACAAAACAAAAACAACAAAAAAAAAAAAAATTCCCATTAATACAAGTCAGATCAAGGTTCAGCATTGTATGAGTGTAATGCCAACTGTAGAATGAGTCACATTACCTTCAGAAAGTCATTAAACTCTTGTCCGACACACTGCGATTCGATGCTGAGTTGTCGGTTTGGCTTAGGGTGTTCCACTTTGTTGACGTCTGCAATATTATTATTTTATTAATTGTTAACATCTTCAATATTATTATTAGTTGAAGAATTAAACGCCATGATTTTGGGCAGGATCATCTCAGAATAAAATGCCACACGCACCTTTGCTCTGCGACTTGCGGAAGATGGACTTGACCGCCTTGGTCCGCTTGTCGAGCTGCTGCCGCCGCTTCTCCTCGAAGCGGTCGAACTTGCGACTCATCATGGAGGTAGCGGTGGAGGTGAGTTCTGACACATCGCTCACCGAACGACTCACCTTGCTGCAATGTAAACATTACAATGTAAACAATTTAATGAGTACAATGACCAAGCCTCGTTTCTCTGGGGCCTATTCTCAAAGCAGGCCTGCTGGTGGATCAAGGCCTGATCAACCAGGCTGTTACTGCTGGCCACTGCTATCATATGGTAATGTATCCCCTATACACTTTTTAAATGGTATTACCATACACACACACGTACAAAAATACATTCATGTATACATACATGCACATATATGAAATATAAACAAATACATGGATGTGTAGTAACCTGTACATGCATACATATACACACACATACAAATGTATACATATATATTTTTATATTTTGGTGGGTGATATCAAACATACATATACATAGTACGTATTAAGATAAAATAAAGATTTATTAAAATGTTAACCACTCTTATCTTGTCTAGACTTAAGTACAGCCTCTCCTCACTTAGCGACGTACTTGTTTACCAAAGTCTCGGACTCATGACAGGCTCTCTGACCAGTATGCATACCTAAATACAGTGGAACCTCAAAAATCGAACGTATCACATATCAAACGTTTCGAAAATAAGACCATTTTTTCGGACAAACTGTGTCCCTATTATCGAACGCTCCCCTATTTTCGGACCGCTGGGTACGGGACCTGTCCGCTGGCCCGCTCTGTCCGCGTCCCCGCGCAGGCGCCGTGAGCAGTCTAGCTTTGTTTATGCTTGAATGAACACAAACCTGCGATCTCATTCACACATTTTATGATTATTTAAATGTGTTTAGTGCTTGTGGGGCTGTGAAATACGCTGCCATGGGCCCAAAGAAACTTGCTAGAGGTACCCCTGTGGTAAAGAAAGTGAGAAACACCATAGATGTGAAGAAGGAAAAAATACAGAAGTATGAGATTGGAGTGAGACTTGTTGAGCTTGCCAGGATGTACAGAGGACTGTGGACAGTTATTTTGTGAGACAGAAACAGACAACTGTGGACAGTTATTTTGTGAGACAGAAACAGACAACTGTGGACAGTTATTTTGTGAGACAGAAACAGACAACTGTGGACAGTTATTTTGTGAGACAGAAACAGACAACTGTGGACAGTTATTTTGTGAGACAGAAACAGACAACTGTGGACAATTATCTTGTGGGACAGAAACAGACGTCTGTGGACAGTTATTTTGTGAGACAGAAACAGACAACTGTGGACAATTATTTTGTTGGACAGAAACAGACGATTGTGGACAGTTATTTTGTGAGACAGAAACAGACAACTGTGGAGTTAATTTGTGAGACAAACAGACGATTGTGGACAGTTATTTTGTGAGACAGAAACAGACGATTGTGGACAGTTATTTTGTGAGACAGAAACAGACAACTGTGGACAGTTATTTTGTGAGACAGAAACAGACGACTGTGGACAGTTATTTTGTGAGACAGAAACAGAGGACTGTGGACAGTTATTTTGTGAGACAGAAACAGAGGACTGTGGACAGTTATTTTGTGAGACAGAAACAGAGGACTGTAGACAGTTATTTTGTGAGACAGAAACAGAGGACTGTAGACAGTTATTTTGTGAGACAGAAACAGAGGACTGTAGACAGTTATTTTGTGAGACAGAAACAGAGGACTGTGGACAGTTATTTTGTGAGACAGAAACAGAGGACTGTAGACAGTTATTTTGTGAGACAGAAACAGAGGACTGTAGACAGTTATTTTGTGAGACAGAAACAGAGGACTGTAGACAGTTATTTGTGAGACAGAAACAGAGGACTGTAGACAGTTATTTTGTGAGACAGAAACAGAGGACTGTGGACAGTTATTTTGTGAGACAGAAACAGAGGACTGTAGACAGTTATTTTGTGAGACAGAAACAGACAACTGTGGACAGTTATTTTGTGAGACAGAAACAGAGGACTGTAGACAGTTATTTTGTGAGACAGAAACAGAGGACTGTAGACAGTTATTTTGTGAGACAGAAACAGAGGACTGTAGACAGTTATTTTGTGAGACAGAAACAGAGGACTGTAGACAGTTATTTGTGAGACAGAAACAGACAACTGTGGACAGTTATTTGTGAGACAGAAACAGACAACTGTGGACAGTTATTTGTGAGACAGAAACAGAGGACTGTAGACAGTTATTTTGTGAGACAGAAACAGAGGACTGTAGACAGTTATTTTGTGAGACAGAAACAGAGGACTGTGGACAGTTATTTGTGAGACAGAAACAGAGGACTGTAGACAGTTATTTTGTGAGACAGAAACAGAGGACTGTAGACAGTTATTTGTGAGACAGAAACAGAGGACTGTAGACAGTTATTTGTGAGACAGAAACAGAGGACTGTAGACAGTTATTTTGTGAGACAGAAACAGAGGACTGTAGACAGTTATTTTGTGAGACAGAAACAGAGGACTGTAGACAGTTATTTTGTGAGACAGAAACAGAGGACTGTAGACAGTTATTTTGTGAGACAGAAACAGAGGACTGTAGACAGTTATTTGTGAGACAGAAACAGACAACTGTGGACAGTTATTTGTGAGACAGAAACAGACAACTGTGGACAGTTATTTGTGAGACAGAAACAGAGGACTGTAGACAGTTATTTTGTGAGACAGAAACAGACAACTGTGGACAGTTATTTTGTGAGACAGAAACAGAGGACTGTAGACAGTTATTTTGTGAGACAGAAACAGAGGACTGTAGACAGTTATTTTGTGAGACAGAAACAGAGGACTGTAGACAGTTATTTTGTGAGACAGAAACAGAGGACTGTAGACAGTTATTTTGTGAGACAGAAACAGACAACTGTAGACAGTTATTTTGTGAGACAGAAACAGACAACTGTGGACAGTTATTTTGTGAGACAGAAACAGAGGACTGTGGACAGTTATTTTGTGAGACAGAAACAGACAACTGTGGACAGTTATTTTGTGAGACAGAAACAGAGGACTGTAGACAGTTATTTGTGAGACAGAAACAGAGGACTGTAGACAGTTATTTTGTGAGACAGAAACAGACAACTGTGGACAGTTATTTTGTGAGACAGAAACAGAGGACTGTGGACAGTTATTTTGTGAGACAGAAACAGACAACTGTGGACAGTTATTTTGTGAGACAGAAACAGAGGACTGTAGACAGTTATTTGTGAGACAGAAACAGAGGACTGTAGACAGTTATTTTGTGAGACAGAAACAGACAACTGTGGACAGTTATTTGTGAGACAGAAACAGAGGACTGTAGACAGTTATTTTGTGAGACAGAAACAGACAACTGTGGACAGTTATTTTGTGAGACAGAAACAGACAACTGTAGACAGTTATTTTGTGAGACAGAAACAGAGGACTGTAGACAGTTATTTTGTGAGACAGAAACAGACAACTGTGGACAGTTATTTTGTGAGACAGAAACAGACAACTGTGGACAGTTATTTGTGAGACAGAAACAGAGGACTGTAGACAGTTATTTTGTGAGACAGAAACAGACAACTGTAGACAGTTATTTTGTGAGACAGAAACAGACAACTGTGGACAGTTATTTTGTGAGACAGAAACAGAGGACTGTAGACAGTTATTTTGTGAGACAGAAACAGAGGACTGTAGACAGTTATTTTGTGAGACAGAAACAGAGGACTGTGGACAGTTATTTTGTGAGACAGAAACAGACAACTGTGGACAGTTATTTTGTGAGACAGAAACAGAGGACTGTAGACAGTTATTTGTGAGACAGAAACAGAGGACTGTAGACAGTTATTTTGTGAGACAGAAACAGAGGACTGTAGACAGTTATTTGTGAGACAGAAACAGAGGACTGTGGACAGTTATTTTGTGAGACAGAAACAGAGGACTGTGGACAGTTATTTTGTGAGACAGAAACAGACAACTGTAGACAGTTATTTTGTGAGACAGAAACAGACAACTGTGGACAGTTATTTTGTGAGACAGAAACAGAGGACTGTGGACAGTTATTTTGTGAGACAGAAACAGACAACTGTGGACAGTTATTTTGTGAGACAGAAACAGAGGACTGTAGACAGTTATTTGTGAGACAGAAACAGAGGACTGTGGACAGTTATTTTGTGAGACAGAAACAGAGGACTGTGGACAGTTATTTTGTGAGACAGAAACAGAGGACTGTAGACAGTTATTTTGTGAGACAGAAACAGAGGACTGTAGACAGTTATTTTGTGAGACAGAAACAGAGGACTGTAGACAGTTATTTGTGAGACAGAAACAGAGGACTGTAGACAGTTATTTGTGAGACAGAAACAGAGGACTGTAGACAGTTATTTGTGAGACAGAAACAGAGGACTGTAGACAGTTATTTGTGAGACAGAAACAGAGGACTGTAGACAGTTATTTGTGAGACAGAAACAGAGGACTGTGGACAGTTATTTTGTGAGACAGAAACAGAGGACTGTGGACAGTTATTTTGTGAGACAGAAACAGAGGACTGTAGACAGTTATTTTGTGAGACAGAAACAGAGGACTGTAGACAGTTATTTTGTGAGACAGAAACAGAGGACTGTAGACAGTTATTTTGTGAGACAGAAACAGACAACTGTGGACAGTTATTTTGTGAGACAGAAACAGAGGACTGTGGACAGTTATTTTGTGAGACAGAAACAGACAACTGTGGACAGTTATTTTGTGAGACAGAAACAGAGGACTGTAGACAGTTTATTTTGTGAGACAGAAACAGAGGACTGTAGACAGTTATTTTGTGAGACAGAAACAGACAACTGTGGACAGTTATTTTGTGAGACAGAAACAGAGGACTGTAGACAGTTATTTTGTGAGACAGAAACAGAGGACTGTAGACAGTTATTTTGTGAGACAGAAACAGACAACTGTGGACAGTTATTTTGTGAGACAGAAACAGAGGACTGTAGACAGTTATTTTGTGAGACAGAAACAGAGGACTGTAGACAGTTATTTTGTGAGACAGAAACAGAGGACTGTAGACAGTTATTTTGTGAGACAGAAACAGAGGACTGTAGACAGTTATTTTGTGAGACAGAAACAG